AGTGCTGTCTCATTACTGAATATATTCTTGTTTTATTGGAAATTTAGCTCCATAAATAGTTTAGACGACAGTATTCGTAGATAATGCATTTACTGAGAGTAGTATGTTTAAAAGACCAATTTATCCAGGCCTTCTAAAGAGCACCTTTAAAACAAATATGCTGTAACTTGGTAAGAAGTCAATAAGCTGTCCTTCTGAGCCTCGTTGCATGCTAGGAGCTTTGTTTTCTCAGTCAAATTGGAGCTTAAGTGGGACATCTCAGATAGCATGGATATCCTTTGTTAACACTTTGTTCCTCCTCCACCTGAGACTTGTTGATTTCAGTGAGCCATCATGTTGGTGCCACTTGTGTGGAACAAATAAGACACCTTAACCCCTTCAAATTCCAGGCTTATTACATACTAAGACTTATTATTTAGTCACTACAGGGACTTCAATGCAAACTGTTTGAGCTATTCTTAGGTTACATAAGTGTGTAATAAAACTTAGGCCTGCCAGTGGGCCTTGACATTTAAGGGGTTAAAGAGGCCACATTATTTTCTGCCTAAAAATTCTCTTGCTTCCTTCATTTACTATCATTTACTTTGTAGGCATACTTGTATAGTTTCCTGTACATTGTATGGTGGTTAGGAATATGGCTTCTGACATCAGTTCCCAGATAGATGTTCTCAATCTTCGTCACTGGCTAAGAGCTTTCCGTTCTGTTTTGTCTTACGGCTGTGACATCTTGTGTTCTGTACCCTTTTATAGAGCAGTAATACCATAACCATCTTCACAATGTTCCCATCAAGAGCAGCATCTGTTCAAGGCATCTCAGTAACATGGTAGACCAGCTCTTCTAGGCAGGGACACTGTCAGAAATCCTTGACAAATCTCCAAAGTGTGAAGCTGAACAGGAATTTTGGCAGGAGAACCCATCACAAATAAGAAGAACAGACTCTAAAAACTGAGCTGTGCATTATAAGCATTATTCAAAATATAACACAAATGCATAGAACAATTTACATTTACTGAACTACTGAAGTTACTCAGATAAGTTGCTGCTGTGACACCAAGTTAGCTTCCAGCTGCCTTTTTGTCTGCCCTCTTATACCCTGAATATTTACTGTAACATCCATGTTTTGTTTTATAATAGTAATACAGCACTATATCTCTGTCAGCTTTGTGCTTTTTAGCAGTAGTTATGGCTAAATATCAATCAGTGAATTAGTTTGCAGGTCAAGTCAGTGAAAAGGTCTCACACCTGACTTTGTTAACAGTGTAGTACAGCACAATGTAAGTTTACAGTACTGCTGGCACCATTTTTAACCCCTTAAAATCCGCGGGCTTATTACATATTAACTCTTATTATCCAGTAATTACAGGGTCTTCAATGCAAACAAGCTGTTCTTAAAACAGCTTAAAAGTGTGTAATAAAACTTTGGGCCTGCCAAAAACTAGTTAGCAGGGGTTAAACTAATTTCTGATGGTAGGTGGCTTTAACAGTCACTGTTAACTCAGATTTGCCCTTCAGACAAATTTTCGCTATCTGAAGCGATTTTTCCAGGTGGGGAGCTCTGTTGGAAACAATTAATGGTGCAAGAGGAAAACAAGTCAGTTATTAGCATCACAATCTAGCTCTGTGATGATTATAGACATTTCGATATTTTCAAACATTTTTTTTTTTATGACTTAGTGTGCAGTCCTGCAGTGTGAAATGATCAGAGATGCAATTGAACGAGTGAATTAAGCAACAGTTAATCAGAAAGCTCAGAGAAAAAAAAGCCCAAAAGACATACGTAAACATACACTGGCACTTTCTTTACAATTTCAGGTTTAGCTGCTGTTTTGCTACACTTCTTGTGTGAGTATAAAAGAACAAATTGGTCTGCTCTAGTTTAGCTTAGTTATAACAAAGCTAGGATAACAGTGAGATCTAAAATTTTGAGAGCTTTTTTGTAGCCAACATGTGCTGTGTGGGTGATATGCTCTTTTTGCCTTATCATATAGTACAGTAGTAGAGTTTCGTGTTCACCAAGAAGCAATGGGCCAATTTAAATTCGTCCACAGACTGTATTTGACCCAGAGGGCCAGACTTTGGACACCTTTGCTGCATGACATACTTTTCTCTATAAAATTAAAATAAAGGGTGCCGCATCGCAAAAATCAATAGTGTCAACCATCTTGAACCCTGAAATATGTACATATTATCTATACTTTTTTCCATATGTACAGACAACAGGAACAAACTGTGGACAGCAAATGTTTTGGTTGATGGACTACATTTGGGATATAGCAGAACATTTTTTTGGCCAAACCACAATTTTAGGGGTACAGGTAGACTTTAGTCAGTAGGACCTCTGAACAAAGCCAGAAGCAAAGCACTAAACATTGTTGCTGGCAAAGTAGCCTGCTAAAGTTTCCTGGTATTGAGCACCAGACTCTCATGCCCTTCTGTAGCCATGGCACTAGACAAGGTAAACACCCTCAGTGAAGAGGACAGCTGCAGGCTCTTTGTTATTGACATGCAAAAGCCAGCTGCCTTCATTCAGTCAGTATTCCTCCATAGCTATTGGAGGGATCAAGGAATCCAGTCAGTGGTGTTCCCAGGCTTGGGTTCTGGGACTTGCAGCCAGGTACAGGATAGTCTGCATAGCTGGGGTAGAGAAGGCCTTGACCCAGCCTCAACTGCAGAAGCAAGTGTTCAAGTTTGAGTGCAGAGTCATTGTTACCCTAGCCAGGGAACCTTGTAGCCCTTGTGCCTGAGTGCCAAATGGAACCGAAAAGTGTTGTTTGGACTGATGTTTTCTCTTTGCTTTGCCTTGTACTTCTTTATTCTTTAAACTCACTTTTTCTTCTGGTAGTTTGAGACTGTATCTAACACTGCAGTGGATCTGGAAGTAAACACAGTTGTAGTGTGAGTTGAAGCTTAATGTTTGTTGGCCTTTTTGCATTATGTCAAATTGTAGAACAGCTTAGACGGTGTTTTTCCTGAGAACTGAAGCTGATTTGTCTGTCTGAGATCTGATACTGTGGTCTAAGGATGTCCTAAATCATTCAGCATACTATATGCAGCTTTTTGTACAGGCATATCTTCTTGCTGCAGTGACACATAGGGCCCTCCTGACAGCGTCAACTTCAGGCACGTTCAACCAGCACAGCTCAACAGCTACATCACTTAGGCATTCAATATGGTAATATGTCAGATATCACATACTACTGTATTAGCTATGGTTTGAATGAAATAAATCAATAAATGAGCAATGAGTTTTTACTATAATTGGGAGCTGTTACTGCAGTAACTCTGTTAAGTGTCACAGGCCTAAGTGAATGTTTTGAGAGGTTAAGTGTTGTACAGTTTTGGAATAAGCTACCATGATGAAGATCCAGTCCACAGCCTGTCTGCTGCTGGTGTAATATCATCCTCAAACACATGCGCGTAAAAGCAGCATTTGTTTGACGTGCATGTTTACAGATTAAAGTTGCGTTGACTCCAGCCCTGTGATCTGCGCGGATCAGAGAGTGCTACGATGGCAGCAGAGCTATCTCATTCTGCCGGTAAACAGAAGTCTTTGTCGAGACCATTTAATCCCTGCAACATTCTGCTGCTCAAGAGGAGGCGATTACAAGTCTCTGAGAGTTCACATTTGACGTGTACGGGTTGTGCAGGGGCCTGCTGCCACGTTTATTTTAGGCCTTACGTTCAACCTCCCCAGAGAGTTTCCATTTAAACTTTCACTCCCCTCTAGAGGGGATTCAAAGCTCATTAGGCTTAATGGTGGGGCACCGATATTAAAAGAAGCGCATGCCTGTTATGCAATGACATTGTACTAAAAATTACTCACCATATGGAAAATAATTGGAGGACACTGTAAATCTACAAACAACAACAAGAATACTAAAAAAATATTGGCGAATCTAAGTTGATTAGACAAAAAGGAAAAGTTATAATAATAAAAACACCTTTTGCAATAACACAAATATAGAACTATTTAGACTTGTAGAGTCATGTGTTGCAACATGTGCACAGAGAAAAACTCAAAGGGGCAGTATATTTTGCTTTGCCGAGTTATGAATTGACCACAAGTAACAGGAATGATCATTTTAGCTCATTGCAGAAAGGAAGCCAGCTGAGCTGAAGCGAAATTGTTTTTCATAAGGTGAAGTGTCGAGCAAACCCCATGACCCCGTGTTCTGCAGTTCAGTACCTTGTTATTTCTATTTTTGGGCAAAAACAAATAAAGAGTGCACTGTTCCAAAATAATGACCTAGGGCATAGGTCATTATTTTACCTGTCTCTCTCTCTCTCTCTCTCTCGTTTTCTCTCTGCAGGTAAAGGAGAACTATATTTTCAAGCAGAGCCAGACTTCTTCCTTTTTTAGTCAGCTTGACTCACGCTGGTCTCTGTCTCAGTTTCTCCTGAGTCACTGTGAGCCTTGACCCCCCATGAACATGAGAAGAGCAGGTGCAGACAGAGCTCTTCCCTACGCATAGCAAACGTCCCCTGCTGCTTTCTGTCCACACGCATACTACCAGCAGTGGAAAGAGGATGATTACTGAAAATCTCTGCTCATGTAAGAGTACTGCTAGTGTAGTGATACTATGCATTAATAAAAGTAAAAGTATTAATAAACAGAGTAAATAAATAGTCTTTTACTTTAAATGAATGGGAAACCTCCAGGGCTGCCTAGGCCTTCAGAGAAGTAGCAGTTTAGTTTTACGTTTTGGTTAGAAACTAAAGAATGAAATTCTTGAAATGCTCAATGGAAGATTATCCAAGTAGGTCTTTTCTTCTGTCGCATCTAGGTAGATACAGCAAAGTGAGCTCTCCCATTAGTCAAGACTTCAGAAGCTGAACTATAGCCTAATGTGTCAGATTAACCACTAATATAATTAGGAGCTGACTGTTGAACAGTCATGTTTTGATTCACAATGGGTGGAGCCAATTTTACATTTCACTCCTGGCCTTCTGGAAGTTCTAGATGCATCACTGACTGTTAATGTGAGTGGTAGTCTGACTAGTACTTTTCAGTCAGATGTGAGGAAGGGAAAACAGTGGCTGCAGCTCCATGGCAGGACTCTTTACTGAAAAACTGCCACAAGGTAAAATATATGTTAATATGTCTATTGCAAGCTTTCAAATACAGCAAATTGAATGTGTTTTGAAGCTTCAAATGTAATCTAAAATGCAGAAAGAAAGTGCTTAAATTTTCACTCAGTTTATTGGCTACCTAAGCTAATCCATTAGCTTATCTGGAACGTTACCTTCCATTAGCTAAATTAGCTAAATCAGCTAACTAACAAACACTGGCAATGGAAGATATAAGGAACGCCTTTAAAGATGTTTAAAGCTAGAAAGCCAAGGTGCTTGAAATGGTAAAATGACAAAAGAAAACTAACTAACTAACTAACTAAATAACTAAATAAATAAATAAATAAGAGCACAAATAGCTATTTAGTCTCTGGTGGTTTGAATTGTGAAAAGTTGAGATTTTTTACTCTGTAATGTGAACATAAAATTTAAATGGGCAAGTTACATACTTAAACTCATGTTAAAGTAAAAGCACTATGATTTAACTACACACCAAAAGAGTGCTATTACAGTGAAAAACATGTAGGTCTGTTTATTGTAATGAGGCTGGTTGTAAGTCATTTTCCACCTTTAAAATCTACACACACTTGCACACACACACACTTGGACAAATATAGATTTTGGAAGGTTTTTTGCTCCCTGACTCTCTCTTGTTTGTTAACTTTGTGTAATATATAACTAGCTTCAGTTCATTGAGGGAATGCATTGGTATAAGAGTAAAGGCCCTATTTGAGCTGCTGTACAGAGCAGATAGCGGATTGACTCACATGAGCCTCTAACCCAGTTCCCCCCGAGTGCCACATTGTTTATTTCAAGCACTGTGGCGGGCATCTCATGCCAGCGTCTATTACTTAACCTCAACGTGTTTACTCCATTCTTTGTTTTGAATTTTGCCTTTTCACCCAAATTGTTCGCCCTCATGTCCATGTAAGTGTCTCAAGATGGAACCACGAATCTGCATTTACTGCAGATTTGATGCACACTGATTTGACTGGTACACAAGAGCTTTCGAAGCACCCAAAACAAATTTTCCAACCTTGACATACCATATAAACACTGTTCAAGTTTCAGTTCAACCCCCCTATTATATGCAGTTCACATATAGAAACTGACCTGCAAGAAAACTCTGATTTTTGAATGTGAGGTCCACACATTCAGCCTATAGCAGTTTAGCCGCCTGTTCGTATAAACGTGATAAAGAGTGTTGATAGTCGGTAGCAAACTTATTGCAGACAGTAACACCATTCACACACAAAAACCCAGTTAAGTTGATAATGTTTTTTTTCTCTTCTAAAGCTTAGGCAGAGAGGTTTCTGGTGACTTATTGCACTTGTCCATTTATGTTCTGTCTATATTTATTTATGCTAATATGTTCCCTAATTGTGCAACATAAAAAAAACCTCAGTTAACATTTATGAGAAAAATACACACAAAGGGCATAAATGTAACCACATAGACATTCTTTGCCACAAGCACTTAGTTTTACTGCCATTTTACTATTTTACATTTATAACAGCATTTGGTTCAGTAATTCAATAAACACAAAATGTTCTCATTACTGGTTTACGGTCTCTGCCCAAACCCTGCCTTCACAGTCCTGCAATATCATAATAAACTAAGTCTTTGCAAAGGCTCTTGTCAACCTGAGGCCTTATGCAGTAGTTTAGGCCAACATTTGTACAGACCCTGAGGATGTCATTAATAAAGATGAGAGAAAGTTCCACTAAAGACGAGGAGAAATGTGGAGGACTGGAACTTCATTTTTCGCTTCATTTTTTTCATTTCCAGTCAGCTATTAAGTACAAATCATTCAATTTGTGAGTTATGAAAAAAGCTGAAAACATATTTAATAGCAAATTACACAAGAGCTTCCTCAACTAAATGTTGGATCAAAGGTTTCAATGCCTATACCTTTATTACAACTTCCATTCTTTTCTGAAGACTTGGTTCTGGTTTCTGCAGGGATATTTTTCCACACCTCCAAAGTTCAGTCTTAGAAGTCGGTTGCATTTTCTGCTTCTTACAATCCAAGTGATACCAAACACATTCAGTGATGTTGAAGTCTGGACTCTGGGGTTTAGACGCATAGCTATAACAGCCCATTAACATAATATACACTCATGAGCGTCTCCTTCCTGCTCAGATGAAGTGATGAGCTGGTTTTGGCTCAGTTTATTTTCCATAACATCTGATACTGCTAGAAATCCTCTGCCTCATTGGAAAATTAATTAGTATTCTACAAGTCACCCAAGGAGCTGACAGACTGAGCAGCCTCAGTAAACCACTCTGAGCCAGTGACCCCATCTGACCTCTTCTGACAACATCACAACGCTGCGGTATAAAACTGAATAGTGTTTTTAATTGTGTGCTTCAACTGTCTGGATCAGAACACAATAAGACCAAATTTCATTGCTAAAGGACTGTAGCTTTCTGTGTGGTTCACATGATGCTAAAAAGGCAGCAGGGTCAAAACCTACACTCAGGCTGTCTATCATAACAATGTGTGCTTATGTAATGACAAGAATTTTTGCACCTTGGGGTCGCAGTTGTGCTCACCCTGTTCTCTCAGCTTGGGTTACGGCAACTAATTCCATTTAGGCCCCTTCTCAGAAAGATAGGAACTGTTTGCTCTATTTGTATTGTTGCTCTTTATAGTTGCTGCCATATTAAAAGCCTGTATTTCTTAATCATTAGAAAATGTCGCATGCATTTAATACTGTGTGGATATTTCAGTCTAAAATGACTTGGAACAAAAATCTTGTTACATTAACATACAATTTGTTGGCAAACTGAAGATATATGGCTCTCTTATGACAGTGACAATATACAGTAGGAGTCAACGTTTGTATCCACCTATTGAGAGAATCTTCCTCACTTTAAATATTTTCAACATTTTTAGATAATAAAAATCTATCTTATGTATCTTAAACTACCTTATATATTAGATTTGTTCCTTTTTTCATGCATCTTACTGTGCATTCATTATAGTGCAAGTATTAAAGGATATATTACAGGTAGCACTGGAACAGTGTAACACCTAGGAACTCAGGAACATTAACCACCACTACCTACCCCCACTGGTAACCCTTATGCCTCCCCTATGTGGAGAAACATGAAGTGAAAGGAAAAAAGAAATAACAATAATGATAATAATAATAATAAGGTGGTCCCCCCACCCTGGCTAGACAGACAGACAGATAGAACAGATAAGTCAGACAGACAGGCCTAATCAGATGTCTATACAGAGTTGCTCGCAAAAATTTGGGCACCCCTGGACAAATTACATGTTGCTTTTCTGAGTAAAATATAAGACACAATTATTGTTTATTTGATTAATTATATATATATATATATATATATATATATATATATATATATATATATATATATATATATATATATGTAATATAGTTCTCTGTAGATGATGTTATGTATTTTCACTGAAAAAACAAAACAAAACATGTCTTTTGACCAAGGGTCACTTATGAATGAACATTAAAGCAGTAAATCAAGTATTAACTACTGAAATTATTATGCGGGAAATACACAATGTGACCACAATGGGGATAATTGTTATATTTTTATATATATTTTCAAAAGGAAAGTTTTGAAACAGGAATTTGTTTTTAATTTACTGTAAAAAAATGCAATCAGGTGCCCTAAGATTTTTGAAAAAACATTTTCTTTGCCTTGATGCAGCTTTACACACTCTTGATCATGCTCTCAAGTAGCCTCGTGAGAAAGATGCTTTGACTTGAATAAGTGTTTCATATGCTGAGATCTTATAGGCTAAAATGGGGTGGGGGGTGTATTTTAAAATTATTTCTTTCAGTGTTTTTTTATAAATTCCTAGGCATCCTCTATATTGACAATAGCATATCTAGCATCTCATAGGCATGTCTTTAAGAATGTGAGTAACATATTCAGTCTAGTGTGTAGAGTCTTTTTACTGGATGTGCACTTAATTAAATAGACTGAGACAGACAAACAGACAGCCAGGGTGAAAAACTGAAGTGAAATTGGGGCAAATTTCTGCGGCTGACTGCATTACTTCATTTGGCATCCCTTGCTGACTCCTAATCTGGCTGGGGAGAGGATTTTGCATTCAAGTGCAAACCACTACAGTCAAGCCAGTACACACAAAAATGTGAGTCACACAAATGAGATGGAATTTAATATGTGCAAACATTTGGGATTAGGCTCAGTTTGACGCCTCAGACCATCTGGCTCACTTCCCCGGCTTTCCAGCTCTTTCTCGCTCTTTCTCCCGCCCTTTTTTCCCCTCTCCTCTCTTTTCCCTCTGGCTTTCCCAGCTGGGCAGACGATTCAGCAGACACTCCTGAAATCCGCCCCCCGATGACACTGATGCACACGAGTTCAGAAACCCAGCCAATAAGCAGTGTCTTTAGGAGACACACCTACACAGCTACACCCCTTCCTCCACTGCCCCACCCCACTCCAGACCCCTCTCAGGCCCCCTTATATATAAAGTTAGTACAGTGCATTTGGAATATGCACAACAGATTTAACATGATGGCATTTTCTCTGACATAATAAGTGCCTGTCAGAAGTTTGAGGACATCTAGCCTTCTTTAAAAATCTAAACTTTTATGCTTACTTTTCAGTTAAGTATGAAAGATATCTGCAATGATTTTGTCAAGCATAAAACAGCTATTTGCTAATAGGTTCAGCTTCATGTTCATCAAAAAAATCTTCCTTTGCATAAAGATCAGGTTTAGCCTAAATATTGATGAGTTTTCTTTTCCAAACTTTCATTAAATGCACATATTTAACTCTCGTTTAGTCTATAGAAAGTTTAAATAGCTAAAAGTTTCAGTGCTGATGAGTTCTGACATCATAACAAGGCAGTGGCCTAAACAGGGTCTTATTAAACAATGTATGGCCCCCATTTAAAATGACTTTGAATTAATAAAAGATGACAGTGTAATTATCTATACTTCCTATCGTTAGTTGAAGAGTTGATCTAATGAGAGCGGTTGTGAGGTCAGGC